AGGTAGCCATGATACAATGAGTAGGCAGGCAGCTTCTCTCATGCTGTCTCTGTTTTTGTAGTACGGGGTGGGCCACCAACAGTTTTCTTGATCACATTTAATTTTTTTTTCGAATAAATAAAAAACATTTGATAGGCATCAAGTGATCTACTGCGACCTATCAGATAATGAAAGCGATGATTTGATTTGCAATAATTCGCTATGTCACGACGAGTCCTACATGTAAATAGCGAACCACTCATCGAAAATCATGAAACTATATGTACATATTATGTGCTTATGTTTTGTTGGCGAGGACGGTCGTTTTATTCAAATTATTATCGATATGTTCATCTGCTTCACTAGAAATTATTATTAGTAGTTAGTAGTAGTAGTATAGTAGTAGCAGCTTTGTTATTCAAAATGGATGGAACACCTTATATTTTAATTCATTTTTCGATTCTCCTAATTGAGCTATGATTTCGTTGATCAAGCTCAAGGTATACCTATACGTAGAATGTGAAAAATCGAGTTTTTTTTGTATCGAAACTATACAATACCTATATTGATTTGTCAAAATGGCTTACATGTGTCCCTATCCTAACATTCTATTTACTATCTACTGATGCCATTTAATTGAAACAAATACAGGGTGGATCAGATTTCAGAATTATATAAAAGAAGTACTAGTATGCCTACTGAAAAAATATATATATTTCAAAAAAAAACAAAACAAATATTTCACATAAAAAACACACTCTAATATTCAACATAAAATAAAATTCAATCCCACTGGATGTATCTAAAAATATAAACAGTGTGCAGTGTGCATGTCACTTCTAATGGAATCAACCGTATATCTAACGTAACTGTTCAATTTTCAGGAGCGATAGATATATATTCAACTATGACCAAAGTGAGGTAATCTTCAGTGAAATACACTGCTCGGGTCATGGACCCACCAACATTTCCGGAAAATGATATTAGAGGAGGCAAGATAGGTTGAAAATCACTTCGGATTCGAAATCAGGACGTCCAATTCACTGACTATTCATATTGTTCCTGAGAAATGTTCAGTTCTGAAAATTCAAATTTTGTTTCAATTTACATGATAGCACCCCCGTATCTTACGTAAGTATTCTATTCACACCAGCAAGAAAGATACAATCAATGAGCAGTGTATATATCACTGAAGATGTCCCCACTTGGTCAAAGAGTTTATTTTTGGTAGGTACCTATATCTATATTCTACACCTATGGCTCTTGTAAATTTCAGAATCCTAATAACTCAACAATTACGTAAAATACAGGAATGTTTCCATTAGATTGACAAATAATTCCAAAATAATTCTGGCACGCGCCAATATTCATAACGAGACTAACGAGAGAAGCTGCCTGTTTACGTCTCCCCACCGCTTAGGTAACGATCGGTCGTGTTCGGTGAACACACGGGTATGATCTCGAGACTCTAGTCGCCGCTACCCCTATCGGCCATCGTCGATCGTAGCACAGTTTGTCGCATGTCGTAATCATGCGCATGCGTGATCAAGTTCATCGAATTTTGTAATGGCGGATTCGTGATTTCGGGTCATGGAAAAAAAGGATACTATCGAAAAGTGGGGTTCAGCAATATATTGCAGTTCGCTGGTTATTTTATAAATTCCAGGCAGTGGAAATGTTTGTGGCAATACAATATTCCGAGGAAAGGCATTGCTCCCGTTCAGTAGAAGTATAGTTGACGCCATGACGCCTCCTAAGGTTGCGAAGTGTAGTGGCCGTCTTTCAAACAGCAAGACTTTTTCAACAGGTCAATAATTAAGTAAGCGAAATCTACAAATGAAAGTTGGAAGTTGTTTGATGTAGTGAGGTCGTTATTCGAAGAAGGTAATCTATAAATACCTTAAATCGTAGGTACAAGAATAATTTGAGGTTATTAGGTTGAGTTTCCTTTGAAACTTGACATCTTCGTTTATGTCTATATACTATGGAATATAGTGGATTTTATGCTTATTAGTTTTATTCAGATGAAGAATACCTATGTATAATTATGTAAACAAATAAAGAATATCCACAACTATTGTAACTAGATCATTTGAACTGTTTTGCCAACCATCAAGGAATAGGATCATGAGAAAGTGATTTCGAGTTTCACAGTTTCTTTGTGATGTCGAAACCTGGACCTGATGCTTGGTAACTAATCGACGTGTAGACGACGTCGCTAAATGACGTTGTAACGACGTCGCTAAATGACGTCGTTTCGATGTGACATATTGACGTCACATTTACGTCTCTTTCACGTCGATAATTTGGTCATCTTGACGTAATTGGTGACGCGTATATGACGTGAAATTGACGTGTGAATGCTAGCTGGGAATGGGCGATTGGACTGATAACGAGTTATTGGCATTGTCTTGAGGACCGAAATTAATTTCCGCGGCACTTCTCACGCTTTTTTATGTATATAATCAGTCTATGCTTTGTTCAAAATCATTGAATTTGAGCTTATTTCAAACGTACCGCCATGGCCGCCATTTGGCGATACGTCAAATAAATGGTGACGTCAGTTTCATTATGGACTCTGGAACTGAGCTCGATGATAACCACAGTTGCAAAACTTTCAATTTATAATTGTATCAAACACTGAACGAAAAATAAAAAAATTACAGCACAATGCAATTCAAGCACTTCCGATCCAAAATGGCGAATAGTTCTGTGTAATCCTTGTTTTCAATGAGTGACATAAGTTTAACGCTTCAGGTGCATTATCAGCGCCTTGAAAAATACATTCTGGAGTAATTGAACGAAATGGAACAATCACATTTTCCTCCTATTTCTGTTCACACTTTTGTTGAAGGTGAACCTGAACCATATCAGTTTCGATTTGAAGAGAGCGTCGTTAATGTGACCGTTTTTAAAAATGTCAAATTGACGACACAATAGTATATTATGTAACAAGTGTTATACACGGCCTTTTAGTAACGAGTATTTTATGCACGAGCGGAGCGAGTATTTAATAAACGAGTGTCTAGAAGAGTTTATGAACGCGTTACATACTATGCTCTACGAACTCCAAAAATTACATTAACATACCTGCTATTCCTGCTAACCTACAAAATAATTCGAGAGGAATGGAAATTGAGAACATAATACATGCAACTGCATGCAACCAGCGAGACACGTATAAGTGATATTGGTTGTTGGTGTGTCCAGTCCATTGCTTATTAACCTTTGTTTCACGTTTATTGTCATGCTTAGCGCAGAATAAATAGATTGTTCTCAAAGATGGATGCTTCACATTTATACTTCGTGGACATTTTCATATTATTCGCCCAGTAGGAGGTATACAGAGTGGAGTTCTCGACTGGAATAAATTCGCTAGCGGTTTGGTTGGTGGTGAAACAATTTGATGTGACTATCGTGCCAAAGGTTCCAGTCTTCGATATATTATGGCCTACATCCCATATAGCATGAGTACGTCCTCGAAACGTCCTGAGAACGTCCGGCCAAGACGTTTCGTACGTACTGGGGACGTCCAGATTTGGTACGGTCGACGTTCAGGTACGTACTAGGGACGTCCAGATTCCGCGCGTTTGTACATCCTCAGTACGTCCATTCAGGACCATGGATACATGAATCATTGAAGATCCGCCTCTTTTCACTCAGATAGTCAGAAAAGAGATTTAGATAAAGTAGAAATTCTTATTTTGAATGAAAAAAATAAAAAAAAAAAACGATCCCTAACAACACCAGTACCCAGGGATGTCCTTTGTCGGGACAACGTACATACTAGGGATGTCCCTGGGACATCCGCTGGCCGCTAAAAAAGGCATCCAAGGGATGTCCTTTTGGTACGTCCCTGGGATGTACCAAGTACGCGGAGTATCCCAGGGACATCCTTTCGACAAAAGAGAAAAAGTTGCAGGTCGAGTAGGGATTGAATCCGGGACCTTTGGCTTATCATGCACGCACCTTGCTTCATTGGCTATCATGCCTCCTGAAGATTTATGTACTAAACAGATTTATAAACAGGACTCAACTACAGAAACCTGAATAAATACAACTTCATTAGGAATTGGGTATAATTATAATCATTCTTGGGTGTTTAAAAATGAGGGGCATTATGCATGTACGATTTCTGTCTGCGAAAAATGGTAATTTCATAAGAAATTCTGAGACTTTATTCTTTATTTTCATTACAATCATTTTCTGGAAGAGAAACAAACATTTTCCAAGAAATTCAACTCAATAGTTTGATGAAATTCAATGACTCTGATGTGAATGGATATCAGATACTCCAGGGACACGAATAGGATAACCTAGGGATGTACCGGGCGGGATGTTTACTGGACAACCACTGCAGGACATTCCCTGGATGTCCCAATCATGTCCTTATACCGCGGGACAAAAAAGGGACGTACCTAGGACATGCCTGTGTTGTTAGGGTTTCCACCAGGGATCGATCCCACGACCTTTAGATCACCAGGCAGATGTCCAACCTATTACTCTGAAGAATACTTGTTGATTGACAGTATACAACTAGCAATATAATGTGCGAATGCCGATTGATTCATCACATCGATACTTTTATAGAACAGATAATCACGGCAGAGAATACCTGAATAGATGTTTTGTGATCTGAAGGGGCCAGTAAATAATGAATTTATTGTGAGCATTGTATTATGTTTATGTTTGCAAGGTACCTATATGAATAGATTTCAGAGATCGAGGATAGGAATTATATATGCAATTATTTCGATTATCATTTAACAATTCTTTCAATCCCGTAAACAAAAAGTCGATATCGTCCAGAGTTGGATGTACCCAGTACATCGGAATCGTGCGTACCCAGTTCGTCCAGGAATAGACGTTTTCAGTACGTCTTGAAAAGTTCCCGGACGTTCAGACCTAAATGGGACCTAAACTGGATGTCCCCAGGACGTCGAGTGCTATATGGGACATGTTATCTAAATGTGACTGTATCCACAATAGCGAATACTTGGTACTGAGAACTGATTACTCACATGTCGTACTAACAGCATAACACAAATCGGTTTCGTTCCCACAGTTCCCAACTCCGGTATTATCTGGTGTCACATTATTCACACAGGGGTGTTTATTACCTCGGCCGACACATGAATAACATTGCAACGTGAACCCTGAAACAAAATACGGAATTAGAAATTGTCGAGCTGCATGATGAGAACCACTTCAAAATAGGCTTGGTTGACCCATTCCTCATTTGATTTACTCTATAATTTATTTGTAACTATAGCTGATTCGACAAATGTTTTGCTATACAGGGTATTGGGTATGGATCACTGAAGTGATATAAAAAAAATTCATGGTTGAAGGTTCTTCGACATAATCAAAATATATTATGTTTCATCAATTCACCTCTCCTTATAAATCACCCTGTATATAATATTTCTTGAAAATATTTATCAGTTAGACATTTATTAACACACTTTCATTAGTTCATTTTCTACCTTTCTTCTTTTTATTTTTTCAAACTACTATTTATGTACTACTCCCTTTTAGTTTGGCTATCTATGAAATCGTGTTCCTCCAGCTTTTCTTCTGTTTATAACAAAGGTCATCGTTTTCCGTATTGGATCCATCATTTTGAATTTCCCAATTTCGACAAAAAAATCTCCGACCCTGAGAACCCCTAGAAACCAATTTTGAATAGGATCGGATCATAATAACAAAACTCGCCCGCTTTATTGGATTCGTCATCTTGAATTATCCCAAACTTGATGAAAGAATCATGATCTCAAACTCCAGAAACCCCTAGATATCAATCTTGAATGGAACGGATCATAATTACAAAATTCGTTCGACATATTGTATCCGCCATCTTGAATTTCTATCCCGAATTTATCAATTTTGATGAAAAAATCATAATCTCCGTTTCCAAAAACCCTCAGAAACCAATTTTCAATGAAATAGGAACATAAAATTACAAAACTCGTCCACCATATTGGACATATTATCATCTAAAATTTCAAAATTTTCTTAAAATAATCATAATCTTGGACCCCAGAAATCTCCAGATGCCGATATCGAATAGAATCGGATCATTATTAGGAAAATCATTTTTTGAAACCTCATTCTAACTGTCTGTCTGTCCCAACTTGAACGCCAAAAACCCCCATGAGCCTTTTTTGTATAGAATCGAAATATAATAAATAAGAACAATTAATAACTTCGTTTGCCATATCGTATGTGCCATCTTTAATTTCCAATTTTTCATAAACAAATCCTAATCTTCGACCCCGAAAACACCAAGATATCAATTTTGAATCGCATCGGATTATGATTACAAAACTCGTCCGCCATATTGAATTTGTTATTTCGAATTACCTGATTATGACGAAAGATTCATAAACTCCGTCTCTGGAAACCTCCAGATATCAATTTGGATTAAAATCAGACTATAATTACTGAACGCGTCCGCCATATTTAATCCACCATCTTGAACTTCCTAATATCGAGAGAAGGATTATAATCTCCGATTTCGAAAAACATCCTCTTACCAATTTTGAATAGAATCGGATCATAATTACACTCGATCGCCATTTGCTCTGAATTTCCAAATTCTGATGAAATAATCATAAATTCTACCCCAACACCCCCAGAAGAATGAGAATCATTGAATTCGTTCACCACATCGGATCTTTCATCTTCAATTTCTGAATTTTGTTTGAAGAATGATTCTAGTCTCCAAGTCCGAAAATGTCCAGATACCAATCTTGAATACAATTGATCATATGAATACGAAACTTGTCCACCATATCACTCATAAATAAATAAATAAATAAATAAATAAATTAATTTCAGATGAGTTATCTCGAATTTCCCAATTTTGATGGAATTGAATTGATTCAAAATGACAGAACTCGTTCGCCACATTGAATCCGTCAACTTGAATATTCTGATTTTATCAGAACCTCGAAAACCATCTGATACAAATTTTGGATGGAATCGGACCATAATTACAAAACTCGTTCGCTGTTTATTAGATTCCCTATCCTGAATGTACGAATTTTGACGAGAGAACCATAATCTCCGAATCCAAACCACTCCAGATTCCGATTTTGAATAGAATCGAATCATTATAACAAATCGTTCGCCATATTGGATCTGTCATTCTGAATTTACCAATTTTGACGAGAGAGTCAAAATCTCCGACTTTGATAACCCTCAGATACCAATCCTGTATAAAATCGGACCATAATTTTATTACAGAACTCTTCTGACATATCGAAGCCACCATCTGGAATTTCCTGATTCTGACGAAAGGATCATAAACTCCGACCCCGAAAACCCCTCTATATCAATTTCTACCATCGCTGGCGCAAAAACCCTAACCTCGCGACTAGAGCAGAATACGTTGATGCCAGGAATAACTGCAGCCAAACAATAGATGCTTCGAAAGAAACATGCAATGCCAAGATAAGATCGAAACTCATAGATTGCCCCAATGGCTCCCGTTCGTTTTGGTCCCTTGCTAAAGCGATCGAAAGAAATTTCACTAATAGTTCATTTCCACCACTGTCCAAATCCGACGGCACATAAGCAACAACATCGCAGGAGAAAGCGAATATTTTTGCAGAGATGTTCGCAGCAAACTCTACTTTAGATTCCCAAGGAAAACTGCTGCCAGACATTCCACCCGTTGAGAGTCGAATGCCCGAAATCGTCTTCCGTCAACGCACTATCAGACGAATTTTGCTTGGTCTCAAAACGAATAAGGCTAACGGTCCTGATGGAATTTCACCCATTATCCTCAAAAAATGTGCACCAGAATTAACACCGATTCTCTGCGAGTTGTTTACCATCTCGTACAGGTCGGGTATTTTTCCATCATGCTGGAAGACAGCTAGAGTCCAACCAATCCCCAAAAAAGGGAACAAGAACCTGCCCAACAACTACAGGCCCATTGCCCTGTTATCAGTAATCTCCAAAGTGATGGAGAATGAACTTATCAAATATCTGGAGAGCTCAGGAATCATCAATGATAGACAATACGGCTTTCGCCACCGAAGATCTACTGGAGATCTACTTGCCTACGTCACCCATTTATGGCAATCTTCAATAGAAACACACGGGGAATCTCTAGCTGTCGCGTTATACATATCGAAAGCATTCGACCGTGTTTGGCACGAAGGACTCCTCCACAAACTACCATCATACGGCTTACCACCTCAGCTATGCCATCTCTTATCGAGTTTTCTTTCAGGCAGATCGCTTCACGTGGTGGTGGACGGTGTATCGTCTTACACCATTGGCATCAAGTCCGGCGTTCCACAAGGATCAATTTTGGCACCAACATTATTCCTGCTTCATATCAATGATCTGTTGGGAGTAACAACTTGCCCCATCCACAGCTTTGCAGATGATAGTACCCTCCATACTGCTTTCTCTTCCAGAATTCCCATTTCTTCCCAGGAAACTGAGAACTCACGGCGCAGGCAGGTCAATGCTGTCAATGAAGATCTTGCTGAAATCACAGCCTGGGGAACGAACAACCTAGTTGAATTCAACGCCACCAAAACTCAAGTCTGCATTTTCTCTAGAAAGGCGGAAATCAGTATGCCTGATATTGTGATGTCTGGCTCCACCATCCCCACCAAGCCCATCATATCTATGCTCGGTATTTCCATCAGCAACACTCTTTCATGGGATAATCATGTCAGATCCATCGCAAAAGCTGCTTCACAAAAACTCGGATTCTTGTTCCGTGCGAAAAGCTACTTTACACCTCAACAGCTTCTCATGATCTACAAAGCGCAGATACGGCCTGTTCTAGAATACTGTTCCCACATATGGGGTTCAGCACCAAAACATACGCTGATGCTCTCAAATTCCATCCAGAGAAGAGCCATTCGCCTGGTGGGTGACGCCACACTCACTCACTCTTCGACATCATTGGAACACCGTAGAAAGGTCGGCGACCTTTCACTTTTCTATCGATACTTCCACGGAAAATGTTCTTCGGAAATCTCTGCAATCATCCCTTCACTAGCAATACCAATCAGACGAACTAGACAAGCCCAGTCAGCACATCCTTTCGTCGTCAACCTCGAAAGATGTCGAACAGCACTTTATCAAGACTCCTTCATCCATAGAACGGCTAGGCTCTGGAATTCATTGCCTGTGGAAGTATTCCCAACAACATGATATAATCTCCAAAAATTCAAAAAAAATTCCAATACCTACCTCCTGTCCCTATCCTTCCTAGGAACGCACGATGTTCTTCGAACATTATAGGGATTCCCTTTCGTGCGCTCCAATCGATAAAAAAAAATTTAGAATAGAATCGGATCATGTTATAATAAAATATCAATATAATGAATGCATCTTCATATTATTTTTCTTTAAGGCTTAGCGTATATGACAATGCGAGACCACGTCGAACACGAATCATCAACCAGTTATTGCAAAGACCCAACATAAATCGTATGGAATGGCCACCCAAGTCACCCGATCGTAATCCGATTGAACATCCCTGCCAAAAATGTCTCATAGAAACTTATAAAAAAATATATATGAGAATTAATGAGAATGAAGTTGGATAGTGAAACAGTAATTCCGTATAATCCTATGTGTTTTGCAGATACATATATAATCAGTTTCTAATGGCGATTCTCTCCCTTTTCCTTATAAGTATGAACTGTTTTTCGCAGATATATTCATAATCAGTTCCTACTAGTAATTCCTGGTTATTTACATATGAGAATATATCAGAGTCAAGTTGGATAGTGAAACAGTAATTTATAAGCTCGAAATGTATTCTGCAGTTACATTTATAATCAGTTCCTAATGGCAATCCTCAATGGAGTCGATGAGTTTGAACTGTAATTCACAGATACATTCATAATCGGTTCTAAATGGCAATTCCTTATTAAAACATCGTAATTCATGATTTTGAAATGTGTTCTGCATGTACATTCATGACCGGTTCCTAATAGTAATTTCCAACGAAGTCTTTGAGTATGAACTATGTTTTACAGATACATTTATAATCAGATTCTGATGGCAATTCCTCATTGAAACACTGTGGCATTCATGAGAATGTAATGTGTTCTGCATATACATTCATGATGAGTTTCTAATAGCAACTCTATGAGTATGAACTCTGTTTTGCAGATAC